CACATACTATCTTCACAAAATTGTTTAAATCCAGGGATAAATAAAACAAGTTCCTTTAATTATTCTAGAAAGGAAGATCTCTTTTAAAAAGATGTAAAATGGGACTGTGAAACATAAATTTCGTGGGTTAAATTAAAATAATTATTATGCCAATAATTAACCAAGAGTTTTCATTGATGAAATGATCCCCCAATTCATTTAAATATATAAGAATACACGAATGGAAAGAACATATAAGAATATCACAAATTTGTAAAGCCGAGTGTTGGATAGGGATTAATCCTTACATAAAATGACCATAGAACAACAATAAATATAAAACTCAATGTGGTATCGATGGCAATGTGGCAAGAATAAGCAGGTCAGTATAACTGAAAAGACTATTCCAAACCAGATCTCACTATCTATTTTATGAGGTAAAACAAATCAGTGGAAAAATGGAAGGATTTTTCAACAGTTTTATTATGACAGGTTAACTGTGTGTATGAGTAGCAGCAGTGTCCACTTAGAGCCTGATTCCATAGCACATAACAAAATGCACAACAGTAGACTATATTAAATATTTTGAAAATGCTGACCCATCAAAAAGCATAGATTCTTTCCTATGGTCTCTAAATCGAAAAGTTGTAGAAGAAATCACTAAAGAACAGATAAAAGCACTGAAATTTCAATGCCGTGAAGATCTACAATGTTGTAAACGACACTAAAGTATACATAAATAAAATATCTTCAATAGAAGTGCCAACAGGAGTTAGTATCTAATTATATGTTTATAGAAATTTACTACAAAAAGGCATGATAGATCATTCTCAATGGAAGGGATAGAAACAGCCAATAGACAAATTGTTCCATCAGTAATCAAAAAAATGCTGATTAGAATAGAAATGCATGCTGATTTTTAACCTTTCAAAATTAGAAAGGTTAAAAACTTAACTGTTTAATGTTGCAGTGGGGGCAGTGGGAACACAGCCATTGTTAGACAATGTTAATAAGGTATACATTTGTGTGATTTCTGGGGCAAGTAATTCGGTAATTTCCATCAAAGAGCTTTAACAATGCTCCACCTCTCTACCTCATGATTCTATTTTGGGCCTCTTGTTGTTATTTGTGATGGAGCAAAAGCATTTAATGTATAATGTGTCTTCCAAGATTAACCACAGAACATTCTCATTAGCACGGTTTTTGACTGGTTCCTAGCAGTCCAATTTCTTTTGCTTTCAGTTACAAAGATCTGTTCTAGCCTTGAACTCCTTCAGTTACTTTCATGGTTTTTATTACAAAGACATACAAAATAAATAATGCAAACAAGTAAAACAAAGAGAAGAAGTAATATTTTTTCTGCTCATCCATTTCATGCATTCCTTGGTTAATAAGACTCCCACATTTTAAACTCCAATCAAACTCCTGCCTCTAGCCTTAGGGCTGTTTAAGTACCTACTCTATAACCTTCACTTGAATGTCCCAAATGCACTTGAAGCTACATGATCTTCCAAATGCTACCTATAACCTAGTCCAGTCAGTGCTGAAGGAAAGCAGTTTGGCTTAGCAGTTTAGCTTAGTTAGCAATTCTGGGCCTCAGGCTGATAAGGAGACGCCCGCGACATTGACTAGGTTCTGACTGTCTCCATCCCTGTACATGGGCACAGACCCAAAAACCCCAGCTTACAGGTTCTTTTGTAAATAATTTTTGATACTTCCCACCCGCCTAGCCGGGGCCTGGCCAATGGGCGCAGGCCACGGTAGCCCCCTTTGTAACAGTATATAAGCCTGATGCTGAAAATAAAGACAGGGACTTTTCCTGGTGAACAGACTCACGGTGTCCATCCTTTTTCCTTTCAAGTGCCACATGTATCTCTAATATCTCTGCATTTCCCAGCTCCACTGCTACCATCCACCTTGGTCCACATCTTTAAGAACTGCAACTTTTTATTTTCCTGTGTCTACCTGCTTCTGATCCTTCCAACCAATTACTCACGTAGCAAGCACATGGATTATTTCAAAATGTGGTGTAGTAACATTTCTCCTGACTTAAAATTTGCCGTGGTTTATGCTACTTTAGAATACAGACCAAGGATCTTACTTTGGCCCAGCTGATCTCAGCACCTTTGTCTCCTGGAAGTCTCTCTTTCTATAGCTCCACTAACTGGCTATCAGCTGCTTCAATGAGCCATACTTCCTTATTCCATAGGGAGTTTGGCAACCTTGTTTTCTCTTTCTGAGACATTTTTACACTTCCTCTCCCAAAGTTAACCTCCAGAATTGCTAGGGTACCCTAAGACTTGATCATCACTATGGCCATTTCCAATATAAAATTTATCAGAGTTTGAACAGACATATCAAGCATGTGGCTGTGTACTTCTATTAGCAACTCTAGCAAACTGTATGTTAAATGAAGGTCTCCAAATGTGTTGTGTTCTCTGTATATCTCCAAGACCTTGCTCTGTGCGGAGAACTTTGTATGAAATCAAATATTAAATGAAAAGAAACTGCAAATGAAGAGAAAGGTGGACAGAAACATCTTAGAGAAGGCAGGTTCATTTATATCTATTATTTCTCTCTCTTCAAAGTCTAACAAGATTAAAATAACAACTTAGTCTCAACTCCATTTCTAGGAATATAAGCTATTAAAACTGTATCTCGAAAAGACTATATTTCTTTCTAATTTCAAGATATTGCTACAATGGGGGGTATTAGGCAGGAAGTAGAAATGTTTATTGGTCATAAGGATACTAGTTAACATCGTAGATGTTGTTATCAATTACTTGAATTAATGTCAATTACATCTATTTTTGAGAAGGGATCTCGTGATGACAAATTCAGCTCTTGGGGGATAAGTGGAAATGTAACGATGGGATAAGACTAGCAAGACAGGAGGCTGGCAACACAGGAAATTATACACATTAAATCTCTCTTGTCAGCAGAGTGGAGAAACAAGGTTTTCTTTGTTTCTACACTTTAGCAGTCCCTTGACTTTTATTTTTAAACTGTGAGTTCCACTTAATCTGTGACAGATGACTTTAAAAATTATTATTTATTTACTTATCTGATTGGAGTAACATTGGCCTACAACACGGTGTGATTCAGAGGTACAGGCTCACACCTCTCCCAATGCAAGTCACCACACCACACCCACTACCAAGGAACCCCAAGTCCTCCGCCATAGTCCATTATGGCCCTGCCCACTGTTACGTCCCCCCAACCTCTCCCCCACCTTGTAGCCTCAATTCCTCAGTCTAGGGTTTGTCATTGGTTTGGTATTGTCAGACCCTTTGGTGTCTCTATATTCCAAATATAATTGAAAACATCCACATTTGTCTTTCTCCTTCTGACTTAAAATTAAGAAGCTTACTTCTTAATTCCTGGCCTAATAAATTCCTTATTTCCTGGCCTACTTGCCTCGATTTTTATTAAGCAGCTCGGCCTAAAACACCCCACAGAGAACCCCTGATTGCAAGGGCTGCAAGTGACAGTCAATTCCCATGCCCCTCCCCCTGGGGCGTGAGCATCACAGCCCAGACCAGACCCTGCCCCCTCGTGGCGTCACAAAAGGGCCAGACCAAGTTGGCAGGCGGCTGTGCCAACCTGCCATCCGTGTCCGTTTCCTTCGAACGCCGCTTCCCTCTGCCCACCCCGGCCGGGTCTTTCCATTAAAGTGTAAGAACAACAGCATCGGTCTGCAAAGCTCAGGTGGCCACGTTCGCACTGTGCCGGCCACCGCGTCCCCCCTCCCGCGGCGCAGGTCGACCGTTCCAGGCGTGACGCCTCCCGGTGCGCGCGCGCCGCGAGTCCGCGGAAAAGGGGCGGGTGGCAGCAGCACCCCGTCTCCCCGCACGCCCCCCGAGTGGGCTGGGCTCCCGGGGCGGGCCTCGGGGAGCGCGGGTTGGTGAGGAGCGGCGAACAGCCGAACTTTGCTCCCACCCGCGCGCCCGCAGCCATGCGCGCGCACTCGCAGCAGTCCTCGCTGGGCTCCCGCAGTGGCGAGAGCGGGCGCGTCGCGGAGCGCGTGCCCGACGCCGAGGTCACCTCTGCCCAGATCCCGGACCTCTCCAACTTGGACCCGGCTGAGTGGAGCATCCATTCTGAGTGGCAGACCGTCTCCCGTCAGTTTTCGAGCTCCAGGTCCAACCCGTCTGCACCGGACACCTCCTTTTCCGATATCTCCGGCATACCCTCCCACCTCAGCCACAGTCCTGAGCGGAGGACTGACGCGGAGTCCAGTAGTAGTATTACTACCCCCTGGGGCATTAGTCCCTACAGCCAGAGCGGCCAGCCCATGCCCATGCTCGCCGCCCCCTCGAGCACCACCGAGGGGGTCGCCCATCCCCCCCAGCCGGACCCCTGCCAAGCGCGGGTCTCAGTGGAGGAGCCTTCCTCGCCCCCAGTGCCCGCCTCCCGTAGCGCATCAATGGCGGCACCTTCGCAACCTAACTGCACGCGAGCGTCAGGTCCACAGACCGTCCCACCCCAGACGCCCAGCTCCGTGAGGCTAGATTCACCAGTATCTTCTACGCCTACTAACATTCCCCAAATATCAGCAGAAAAGTTCGCCCTGCCTATAGTGCACGACAACTCTTCGGGTTCCATAGAAGGACCTCCTGTGCCTAGTAACTACCCCCACGTGTCTTTACCTGGGTCCAACCCATCAGTACCCAGCTCCCCCAGGGCGTCTTTACAAAGATCTGTTCCAGTCTCGGACTCTTCCCAAGCGTCAATGCAAGGGGTCGCTCCTTCCTCGCTGCCCACCTCCCCGGATTCTCTGCCAGAATCTGTTCCGCTCACGGTATCCTCCCTAGTGTCTCTACCAGAGACCCCCCTGTCTTCTGTGCCCAGCTCCCTCCCGGAATCCGTGCAAGGACCTTCCACACCCACGACCTCGCGAATGTTAGCACAAGTGTCCTCGGGGCCAAGTTCTCCCACAGTGTCTGTGGGAGGATCGGCTCCGCCCCAGGGCTCCCCGGGAGTATCGGTACTAGGGTCTGCCCCGCCCTCAGTGCGGAGCTCCGCCCGGTTCTCGGAAGAAAAATCGGCTCCGCCCACTGGTTGCCCCCGAGAGTCAGTGGAAGGGTCCGCTCCGCCCTTGGCCGGCCCCAGTGCTATACCCACGCCTTCGGGGGATCTCGGTCAGACCATGGCGAGTCCGGAGAAAGCGAGCACCATGGGCCACATGTTCGACGTGGTCGTGATAGGAGGCGGCATCTCAGGTCAGTGTGGACCTTAGCAGTAGTCTGAGGGGCTGTGGCCCACAGGACCGCCTAGGCATTTGGGGGGGAGGGGTCTCTCTTGAGCAGCCGAGAGTGTAACAGTAGCTGGCTTGCCCTGGGGTCCTGCAGGGTGGAAGTGGGGGTTGAGTCAGCTTTGCTGGTGGTGTGAGCTGGGGGAGGCACTTAAAATAATTTACTACCACTACTATTAAATCCTAACATTGAATTAGCTCTCGTGCCGTTATGTTTCACAGATACAGGGATTTGCTCAGTCCTCACCAGTCTTGTGAGGTGGATACTGTTTTCACTCTCATTTTACCGAATCAAGAAACTGAGGTGTGGGGAGTTTCAATAACTCCAGAGGTCAGATTGCCTATGGGGAAGTAGCTGAATGATTTTCTGCCATTTAAGGCCCTCTCTCCTGATTCCTGAGTTGACTGCTTTGACCCACTGATTTCATGTTCTTTGCTCCAAACAGAACACCAGTATACAAATCTCTGGAGTGCTGAGGTGGTTGTAATGTTATTCTAGCCCTGCTCTTCTTAATCAATTTTCCTTAGAAGATTCCCTAATTAAAGAGGAAGGACAGAATGGAATTGTTTAGGAAAGGTTTTTTAAAGTAGTTTTAAACGACTCTTATCATATTTTGTTTTTGAACTTTCAGGAAGGTGTAGGGCATTTGTTGCCCAAAGCGAATCCCTTTCACAGCCTGAATCTTGTCCTGTGACCTGGCCAGCCTGGGTT